TGAGATATATATAAATATAAAAAGCTATCTAGCAGTGTTAAAATATATGGATGATTTTTTCATATTTGAATTATGTTTCATGAGTTGAATCAACTTGTTCATATGATTAAGGGGAGCGAGTATCATTCTAAAGTGATTTAGGTTAATAAAGATATATAGGACACCTAAAAAAATACATTGAGAAAATTCAAACCTGCTCATGAGAATAGCTCAGAAAAATTTGAAGGTACTTCCAATTCAGTCAATACTAACATGACCTTTAAGTAGATCAAAGTATTTTAAATTTCTGTAATAGGATTTCTCCATTTGATTAGCATACTATTTTCTTACTATGATATATATTCTAAATAAATCTGAGGATGTATTTTCAATAACCTATTTCTTTGTTCATAAGACATCAACATTGATGCAATTTTGTTAATAAATATAAAGTCTGTTAAACTAACTGATATCATTATGACTATTTACTACATAAAAATAAGTGTCTAAAAGTGTTAAATTGTTTCAACTTAACCAAATAGAACAAGAAAAAATGAAACTTTTAATCCACATAACTATAATCTTATAAAGAAAAAAACAAAACAAAACCCTGCATTTTAGAAAACTGCTCAACACCGTGAGACATATACACATATTACAGGATCAACTACTAAATTATCATATAGGCAAAATGATACAGCATCTTACCAATAATTTTAACACATGATTATGAAATGAAATTATCTGGTTTCAAATCTAGCTGTACTGTTTACTAATTTTATTACTTGGGGAAATGATTTAACATCACTACAAATTTTTCTATCAGTAAGATAAAATTAGTATTTCACAGAAGAGATGTTTTAAATGTCAAAAAGGTAATATGCCTTAGTACAGAGAAAAGTTTAAAAAGGCTTCTTTCCCTTTTTTCTCATTAAAAGAACAATTTATCAAACATTTTGGAACTAAGAATGATCTCTACTTCAGAAACTGATACTAAAAAACTTCAGTTCACTCAAAATCATGATTATCATATACATTATCTGTAAAGTACCTTCCAAGTATAATCCAGTAACATTATGAGGAATGAAAGTTTTTTTAGCAAGGTGACTTAATCTCAGTTGTTGCAAAAGGAAAGAAGAATGACCCAGGATTCTTTCTTTTAAAAATATACAAAATGTTTTGTTGGTTTGAACAGCAATTTGACAGGAAAAATGCAATATGATTAAGAGCAAAATATAAGTATTTTAGTGTTTGAGGGATATTCAAAATTAAATTATTGGGCTGGGGATTTAGCTCAGTGGTCCCACCACCTCCCTCACAAGCGCAAGGTCCCAAGTTCGATCCCCAGTACCAAAAAAAAAAAAAAAAATTAAATTATTGATGTCATTCAAAATTACCAGATACTTTTTTTTTTTCAGTACCGGAGATAGAACTCAGGATCTTGCACTTGCCAGGCAGGCACCACTGAGCTAAATCCCCAGCCAGGTTTTTTTGGTTTTGGTTTTTTGGTTTTTATGGTAACAAGGATGGACCTTCAAAATTACCTTCAAAATTACCAACATGTGTTACATATGTCATTGCTACTCTCCAAAAAACTAAAAATTTTTTAAAAATTCAACTGAGTATAATTAACCTGGAAATAGTTAGTATAAGGCTTTTTAGTAAACTTTATCATGGCAAATGATCATAAATTAAAAGCTGAATCATGATGATTTCATTTATTTGTTCTATATGTATCTGATTAATAGGCATTAATTTTGTTGATGGAAACAAGAGAACTCTGTTGTTATATACAGAATAGAAATGTAAACACTTAGCATTTCCCACAATTACTGACTTCACAATTATTTTGAATATTTCAAATAACATTGTGAATGCCAGAAAAGGTTGGATAAGCAAAGAGCTCTACTGCCCCCTAATGAAATAAACCAAAAACAAAACAAAAACCCTCAGAAAATTCATTTTGAAATATCTGTGGAACAGGAAAATAATCTTACTTTGCAAAAGGCCGTACAGAAACACGAAGATAATTAGCTGAAAACAACTAGAATATATATCAAAATATTGCAGGAAAACTACAATCCCTCAGTTCTTTTGATAAAATTAGTAGCAAAACAGGAAAGCCTTGAGACAGAAATGTTCTAAGTGAAAGGAGATCACAGTCAAACAATGTTATCTAGTGTGATAAGAATTTAAACTTCATTTCAGACTACATTTTTAGTGTGTATTTTGGCAATGAAAAAGAAGAAAATGAACTCTTAGAAACTACACTCTAGAAAATTTCAGTAAGATTTTATTTCAACAGCTCAAAATTAATACCACAAAATAGTCTCACAATTTATAATATATATTTAAAAGAATTTTACCTAATGGTTCCTGTTATTTAAAATTTTCCATTATAAACTAATTTTTCTTTTAATAAAAGCTCTCCCTTTAACAAACTTCGTTTTAAAAACATGCTCCTTTTACTTAACATTCCAATCTGTCAATAATTCTTGAATCCTTATTTTAGAACAAAGCAATTATTTGAGGGAAAAACTATTTTGTAGTCCTTATTAACAGGAGCCAGATGAAGTAAGGTGAAAAGAATAGAGCTCCAGATCATAAAAACAGAAGAATATAAACAAACAAAAAAGTTACAATTCCAGGCAGGAGTCTGCTGAGGAAAACTGTAAAGTTCTCTTTACAGACAGGGCATCAAGTGTCACTGGGAGTTGGCATGTTTCTGTCCATGTTGACAGTGTTTTTTTAATATTTTATTTTGTGATAAATAATAATTTTAATATTTTATTTTATGTTTAGGAGATCCAGGAAATAGGGACCAAATTCACACAATGCCAACATAGGGAGGCAATATAAAGAAGTCACTTAAGTCTGCACACAAGATGAAAAGACATAGCCTTTACATTTGATGCTGCTTTTCTTCTTCCTGTGTCTGTTAATGAAAACAGTGGTCTAGCCCTGTAAGTTAGAAGGTCAATTGAATGTACATATATAATAATATTCATCCAAAATTTCAAAATAGTGACAAAAACATAAATGTACTCAAGCACATATTTCAAATGAGTTGAATTTCCTATCTGTATTAACTTCCTGAATAATATGAATTTAAAACACGGCTGTTTTACTAGAAGAATCATTCATTCCCAATGCCTAAAAATACACTAAATACATAGGCAAATTTTAAAGCTGCAATAAAAGAGCTGAGAGGACTTGAGTATTACAAAAATCAAATATTATCAAAGCATATTCAATATATGGACAAAATAGTATCCTTCCAACTTATAAACAAACTACTTCTGATTCCTCACTTAAAATACAGTATTCATAAGAAATAGACGACATATAGCTATTGGAATATGTATGTATGTATGTATGTATCTATTTTCACTCAGGGAATAGTCGCAGACTATCAGTGAACTCCATACCATTCTCCTAAACCCTGGGGAATATTTTCTCCAGATCATGGGGAAAAGAGGACTTTCCAAACTGTTTTTTCTTTCCTTAATTCCCAGCAAGCATAAACATAAAAATATAATCAACAAAGGAGAGTATAAAGAAGGAAAAAATTAAAAAGTAACAATTTCACTAGGATATAAATTCAGTGAAAATTTTGGTCTAAAACAAAGGGTTTGTTTATTTATTTATTCATTTATTTTAGTCCCCAAAAGTTTTACTGATGATGATGGTGGCAGCCAGCACTTCACGAGCATTTACATAATAGAAAGCATTGGACTAAGCACTTTACATAATAAATATTTAATCTTCAGAAAAATCTATGAGATTGATACTATTATCTGCATTTTACAAATTAGGAAACTGAGACTTAGATTAAATACCATGACCAAGATTATATCACAACTAATTTGTAAAGCATACATAATATACCAATCAGTTTCACTCTTAACCATTAAGTTAATATTATTTTCCACTGAAATAAACTAATAAAGACCTAAATTGCATAAGATTCTATAATTGCATGATCTAGGATAGCCACGGACCCTAGTTCTTTAAAAAGGCAAATGCATACGATATAATAAACAACTGTGAATGTGCTAATGACAAAGAGGTACTTTCTCCATCCATGAATGCCCACTATAGATGCCATTATTCCCTGATCATATTCAACCAGTATATTCTTTCCTTTCTTTCCTTTCAATAGCACCTCATTCTCAACTATATTTTATTTGTCTAAAACGAGGTAAAATCTCTTTGGTTTAAGAGGAAAATCATTCTCCCTTTTCTATCTTAAAAAAATAACCAATTAAGGTATATAATATGATAATAGTTCTCATTACGTCTGAAACATATATTAGTATATATGCCGCAGTAAGAAAAACTATTCCATAACAAGTCGTGGATATTTGATAACCATGTTCAAGTTGTTGTAAAATTAGTACCAAAGGAAAAAAAACTAATCTAAAATTTTGTCTTGCAAAAGCTGAGATTTAAACACATGCACGCACACACACACACACACACACACACACACACACACACACTACACACACAAAAAGACAATTCTAATCATCATATTCCAGACACTGGCTAGACAACAAACAATAGTCCTTCTACCATATGTATGCAGCTTAAAACACAAAACACCAATGGATATCTACAAATATCTAAAACATTAAAATCATAATTTTATATATAGTCACCACCAAATTTTTGCTTTGCAGAATTTAAGACATTATGAAATGTCCTTATAAAAAAGGTTCCTTTCAAGATAAGCTATTTCTTCAGATAAATGACAAAGTGACATTTAAGTCTGACATCAAAACTTGTTATAAAGATGTGTCAACTAGTCTTTAATTTTAACTAGTTTATATTTAAATTTTAAATCCATAGAGCAAATACTCTGCTATCAATAAAGTATAAGACCAAAAGCTGAGGCAGGAGAACTGCTGTGGGTTCAAGGCCAGCCTGAACTACAGAGCGAGACCCTGTCTCAAAAAAACCAAGGAAATAAAAAGTATAAGATTTACCAAAACAAATCATTTCATTACATCACCTCTTACCTCTGAATCTTCACTGTTCACTCCTAGTTGTAACACAGCTTGAGGAGATTTTAGTTTTGCTTGAGCAGAGTGAGCCATCTGAAGGTTAAGCTGCCATCCAACTGTCTCTAACTTTTAAAAGACAAGTGAAAATTGGAATCAGGTGGTACACAGGAAGAAGGGTCAACTTTAAGCAAATTTCTACTCAGAAGAAATGAACACAGACAGCCTAGACATCATGGAAAGTTGGTTTCAGGGCTCCTTTAACTTGCACACTTTGCAAATTTTCCCCTTGGCTCATTAGACTGGCCTTTTGCCATGCTTGTCAAATTCAACACTGAACATGATCTTTAAATAAAAAAATTTAAATTTAAATTTAAAAATTCTAAAAATAAAAATTCTAAACAATAAGTACACAAAAAAGCCAATGGTTTTAAAAATAGAATTTTTAAAAATTAGTATTTTTAAATGGTTACAAATTTCAACTAGTAAGTAGCATATACTGTTTCAGTGAAAGTACTTTATTGACTTTCCATAATCTTAAACAAAAACTTCGCATCTTTGGGTTAGATAGAAATCTTTCTCTCCTCACCCTCCACTCTTTCTCTCAATTTAGGGAGAAACTCTAGTGAGAGGCTTACACCTTTATAAACAATTAGTAAGAGAGGAATATGGGCCGGGGATTTAGCTCAGTGGTTCCGCCACCTGCTCCGCAAGCACAAGGACCCAAGTTTGATTCCCAGTACCAAAAAAAAAAAAAAAAAAGGGAGGAATAAACCCAGGCAAATTGGTACCAACACATTATCATTACTATAATTTCTAAAGCACCCTAACCATTTCCCAGTTATGATGGAAACTAATTATATTTCCTTTGAACTTATTAATACAATAGCACAATTTAATCAAGTAAGACAACAATAGGAAACAAAGACTATGGCAGTTTCTTTTCTTTTAAAATATTAAGCAGCACCAATGTGCCTTTATGAACCTTCATTACTGGTTTCTCCAAGCTCAGAAATATGAATTTACAGTTTTAGATTCAAGTCCAGTAAATTTCACATTATCAATATTTAGGCAAGTTTTGTGAAATGCAATTGTTATATGACTCTGATAATGGATTTAGCAAAGCTACCTTAGCTATACTGCTAAGAGTGCCAGCCTCACAACAATTTTTATTTGACCAGAATACTAATCACTTAATTTGAAAGACTGTTCAACAGCTAGAAACCAGTGACTCAAAGCCAAGTAGAAAAGAGAGCAATGAAAGTATTATCTATGTGAGAAAGGATGTGATGGGAAAAAGATACAGTTCTGTTCTTTGTGGCACTTTTAGGGGTTACCCGTAAAAAGGCGACATAATCCATAATTTCTAATAAAGGAAAAATCAATTTAATAGTGAACGTTAAAAGTCTTTAATGCATTGATCTTTAACACTGATTACAGTAAGCATGGTCTCTGATATCAGCAGTCACTATTTTCAACAGTTACATGCAACAGACCCATGAACATGTAATTCCCATTATCATAATCAAAAGTATTTTAATACAATGTGTCTTAATTGAAAACATCTTCTAGGTATTCATATGGACTTGCAAGACATTGCATTGAGCTTATTTAACGGATCCTATCTCTGTACTTAGGCACTCAATGTAATTCCTAAAGATAAATATTAAGTAAATAAATTAAAACACACCTCATCCCAGTGAGGTCTTGGCATTAGTTAATGTATGCCTATGGCACTGAGTAAAGTTGGTGTGGAGGAATTAAAGACAGCACTCTGGTGGCACATGCCTGTAATCTGAGCACTCTGGGAGGCTGAAGCACGAGAACTGTAAGTTTCACCCCAGACTGGAAAACTTAGCAAAACTTTCTCACAAAATAAAAATAAAATTGAGCTGGAAATGTAGCTCAGTGCAAAGACCCTAGGTTCAAACCCCAGTACTACAATAAATAAATAAGCACTGAACCAAAAGCTTATGCTTTGGCTTGTACTTAAGCTATCACTCATTATAAGTGTCCCTGGCTAAATCATGGATCTTTCAAAATGTCAATTTCCTCATATAAAATAGAAATATATCTATCTGACCTATTTTCTGAGTTATTGGTAATATCAAAACAGAAAATGCATAATCAAAGTGCTTTTGAAACTTCAAAGCATTATAAATACAAGATATTTTGGTCATCTAATTTTTTTCTATAATATCTTTCAAATAATTTCTGAAATTCATGACCTAGTTCAAACCCTCATCATCCATCTCTTCCAAGATTATCACAAAATAATCTTGTAACTGAGCTACTTGCCTATCTAACCCATCCCATCATCTCATTTTCTTTCTTAAAATTCTCCAAGACCAATAATCCCAGCACTCTGGGAGGCTAAGGCAGAAGATCACAAGTTTGATCTCAAATACATAATCGAGTAATATACATGTGCTTTCAAGGAGGAGTATTTACATGAAAATGAATGGCAGAAAGGGGAAAAGAGTTATTAGATCTGACACCAAAATCATGATCTGTAAAAGAAAAAACTGTTAAACTAGTCCTCGACAAAATGAAAAATTTTTGCTCCTGCAAATGACCCAAGTCAAGCTACTGACTAGGAGAAATATTTACAAACTACATTTCTGACAAAGGAAGGGCAAGCCACAGACTGAGAATATATATGATATATAAATATATATATATCATATATATTTGACAAAGATTTCTATTCAAAATATATAAAGAATTCTTACCACTCAATAGTAAGACAAAGAAACTCATAGAAAAATAGGTAAAAATTTGAAAAGATAATTCACAAAAGAAGATATACAAGCAGCTAGTAAACATATAAACATTCAGTGTCCTTAGTAAAAAAATGAAAATGAAAATTTTAACATACCACAATGCATCTATTGGAATGGTTAAAAAGAAAAAGATTGACAATATCAAGTGTTGGCCAAGATGTAAAGCATTAGATTGGAATAAAATGCTATAAACACTTAGGAAAACAAGTAAATTTTTATAAAGCTAAACCTATACCTACCCAATAATTCAAGTCCATACCTAGAAATAGCCTGGATGTCCATCAAATGGTGAATGGATAAACAAATTGTGTTATATCTATACAACAGAATACTATTTTGCAATGTAAAAGAGCTACAAGTACATGCAAGAAAATGCATAAACCTCAAAATCATTATATTTAGTACAAGAAATCAGACACAAGTATATCCATAGGATTTCATTTATATAAAATGATAAAAATGGACTTGAATCTAAAACTATAGATTCATACTTCCGAACTTGGAGAAACCAGTAATCAATACTAACTGAAAGCAGATCAGTGGTTGCCTCACCCCAGGAAAAAGGGACTGCAAAGGGCCATGGGGAAACTTTAGAAGGTGATTAAAATGCTTTGTATCTTGGTTATGTTGATCATATTATGAGTATACATTATCAAAATTCATGGAACAATTTAAAAGAATACAGTTTATGCAAATTATAATTTTTAAAATATTTTTAAAAGATACAACGTACTAAAAGTTGTAACAAGCAATATATAGATGAAACTAGAGTGCATCTTTAACTACCTGCAATCACCCTCTCTGCCATCTTCTAGACCATGGCAAGAACAGGAAGCAAGAAGCACACTACTGCTTGCCTCACAAAGAAAGAACCATTTACTGTGACCTCTGTAAGAATATACAAACAAGATCAGAATCTCAGAGATGACCAGTATACAATATGGTATCTATATGGCATAAATAAAAATATATTACATAGATGTGAACAACTTCTTGAATTTATGTTCAAGTTATCCTGCATCCAAGCGACTGCCTACTTTCACAAAGTATACTGCACTCAGTAAGTAGTCTTCAGAAGACATCAGTATTCATTGCCCTCTACAAAGCTCCAAAAGTGACTAGACCAGTGTTTTTCCTTCAGCACACTTTGCTTTTAATGATGCTGCCATATCTCATTATATTAAGAATTGGAACAGCTTTATTATACAATTTAGGGATACACCCAAACTATAACTTCAAGTTTAGACACCACAAAAGTCGGCCTGGTCTCACTGCTAAGACAAGGAATTTACTTCTTGACCTGTAGACTTGGCCAAGAAACCTAATCATGAAATTGGTCTTCCTCACCGAGTTGTAAGGAGTTGAGGGGAAACATTAACAAACCTTCTTTAAATTGTTTGCCACCTCTATATGCCAAGAATATAAGAAGATACTAGGACAAATCTGAGGGCAGTGAAATGTCATACAACTTATGCACCCACAATTGGCAACACTCTGAAAAAGTACATCAACTCTATTTAGCAAGTGCACATCTTTGAAATACTATGACATAATAAGAGTAATTTTGCTAACAGCACAGTTTCTTGGCATTAGCAAAATATTCAATTTGTTAATGGTTCTGGTGTAACTCAATTACTTATGAAGTAGGGAACACATTTCTCTTTCAAATAAGACTGATTAAGGGTCTCATATCTAAAGCTCTTTCAATTGATTGCTGCATCAAGAACTAAATCCATCATCTTTTATTCCTAAAGAATTTCCATTTGTTTCATGCTAAAGTAATTCTATATTCTCCCTTTCAGAGAGGGAAAATTTTTAAATGACCAGACTCTTATTCCAGCAAAATTTCTAAGAATAAATGAAGCACAAAAAAGTTAAAATATAACCAAAATGAAAACAAATTAGGAAATACAAAATATAATTCACACCTTCTTTCCTTATTTTTTCTGTCAATAAATGAAAAATATTACTTTTCATAAGAAAATCAAATAGACTAAACTTCAACATTTATTGAGAGATACTGTTCATGCAACAACTATTTGAGAATCCACTATCCTTCAAAAGCCAGTAAAGGAGTGAAAATATAGCAGTGAACAAAACAGACAAAATCTGCCTATCCTTGTGGAGCTCATATTCTAGTGATAGTTAATAAAAAAGCAAAAGGTAAAATATATCGCAGATCAGAGAAGTATAACTATTACAGAGCAGAATGAGGTAAGAAAGTAATATAGACAGGGACACTTTAAACTATGATGACTGAGGAAAGATTCATTGATAAAGGTCACTTTATATGAAGATCTAAAGAAAGTAAGGAAGCCAGCCATGTGAACATCCAGGAGAAATTCT